TGTCCATGCAAAGACTTCGGTCTTACTAGTCCCTTGTTGCCTTGTCTTATGTCTTTAATCATTTTGTTTCCAGTGGTTAATGGTCAACTCAATTCAAGCCTTTAAGTTTCACTGATACCCATATCATTCACCTTCGGTCCCTGAAAATATAGCAAGCCATGAATGCATGTGAAGAGAACCCAGTGTTAGGGCATTCTGAGGTGTGCCTCTCAGCCAATCCATGAAAACAGGCAACTGAGAAGCAGACAAACTTGGAATTGTAATTTTTACTTTACTTCCTACTTTGTCTACTAAGTAGTGATAACACACTGTATGGTGTTTGCAAAAAAAAATGCAATTAAATATAGGAAATTAATAATTTTTCCAACAATTTTTTCTTAATCACTTGTATTTAAGAGAATGTTCCAATTCATTGTGACCCAAATAGCTAACATTCACGAATTTAAAGAGACATACTCTGTTACATGACTTCCTGAATCCTGGCATGAGTCTTGAGGTCACGCCAAGTCATGAGTAGAATTGCAGCTTCAAAGTTTAGCTCCATGTCTCTTTATAGGTGTTTCAGAAATTTTAAAGTGCCAGTGATGCTGAGGATGGATTTGGTGTTTTGTTTTGTTTTAATTGGTGGAAATTATGGCCAGAATATTTTCAGGTATTTCCCTTTTCAATTATTTTCCCTACATGGAAAAAAAAATCTGTGGGCATTATATGAAACAGAGAATCTTAAGAGTAATCACTGTAGAAACATCCTTTCCTATAATTATATCACTCCTAGTCCTTCACTGGCCCCCAAATGATCCAACTTGTCTGGAAAATGAAATGGGTCAGCTATTTATGCAGTCATGTTGTTAGGTGTAAGTTGACATCTCAGAAGATTTATGACTAGCCCTTCACTGCCTGTCACTTTGTATCCTCTCTGCTGCCACTGTCTAGTAAAACTCAATTTATCTTCCATTAAAGCAGCCAGTAAAAATAAATAGATGGTTAGCTGAATAGCAAATGGAGTGTGTGCAGAGGATGGAGTGGGGAATTCAAATTTGCTGAGTATTTGCTAACGTCGCTGCACATACTCTGACATACTATTCAATAACCAATTACTGATAGTAAACAAATGGTTTCCAAAGTGTATGAAAAGTAACAGAAACCACTGGAAAACAGCAGCAGCTCTGCCTATGTCCCAGAACTATGTGCTTTCAGCTATTAGTAGATTCAGCCATAACAGTCTACTTTTTTTTCCCTTCCAAAATGTAGCCAAGTGACAAACATCTGTCTCTGCTTTCTTTGCAAGAAAGAACCAGAACCTGGATTGCTTCCAGGCCATCCGGACAACAATTTCAACTGGAACAAGTGACCTTTGGATCAGACTAGAACATAAAAGCCTTGCCAGACTGAGAGGAGGGTGGAGACAACTGGGAAGGTTCCCCAGCTTGTTCTCATGAAATTGCTTCTGAAGAGGACAGTGAAAAGTTAAGGGAAGATAACTTAAAAACAGTTATATCTAATGAAAAAATGTGTGCCTACATTACAAAATTCAAGTGTAGTTAAATTTTAAGTTTTAAACTAACAATATGTGATTATACAGGCTCAGCAAATAAAGTTCTTTGAGTACAGGAAATGTTAACAGTTATGTAACATTCATCTTTGAGTATTCAGAATCTCTGAAGCTATCCTTTTGTTTTCTTCTTTCAACTGGGTCAGAATTCTTTGGTCTGTAATTCCATGATAGTTGTTACATGCTTTCAGACAACTATCAAATGTTTAAGCAAATTATCAGTTCAGTCAAAGTTAAAGTGATGTCCAGGAGTGGTGGTGCATGTCTTTAATTCCAGCACTGAATTAAGAGGCAGAGGCAGATGGATCAAAGCCAGCCAGAGAGATCTTGTCTCACAAAAAAGGGGGGCAAAGTTAAAGTAATGTTATCAAGATTTTGTTGGAGAGGACGAATGGTTATTTTCCCCCAATATTTACTTAGAAGGCATGAATTATTTCTTATATAAGTGTGCATAAGAAATTTGAGTCTATGCCATCAGCAAGGACATGCTAAAAGATCATTAAGCCTCATATTGAATGCTTATGAATGAACTGCTGTGCTCAGCTGCCAAGTTATGGAAATGGCAAGGCAACCTTCCTTCATCCATATTTAGTGGATCATCGACGTAATAGTTAACTGTCCTCTGAAAAGTGTTGCTTACATGAAAAACTACAGACAACTAAGGAATGCTGAGAGCAGCAGAAACAGTCTTCCCCAGGGAAGACTAGCACAACCATTATCAAATGGTCAGCCCTGAAAACATATACACAAGTAACATTATACAGACAGAGCAGGGTGTACGTAGGATTATATATGTATACACATACACATACATGTGTATAACAATTAATGAAAAAAAGAAGCCATGAATTTAAAAGGTAGCAAAGAGGAGTATATGGAAGAGGTTGGAAGGAGGAAAGGGAAGGAGGGAATGATGTAATCATAGTATAATCTAAAAAATAAAATGTAAATAAAAGTCAATGTAAAAGCAATCAATGTAGAAAAAGGGCAACAGCCTCATGTTAAAGTAATATCCATATTTTATAAGAATTCATTTAAAAGCATAGAAATAGAAGGCTACAAGGAATTTAGGAATTAATGTCTTTGCCTAAGTAGAAAATTTCACTTTGAATGAATTTAAAGTGCTTCTGTGGACAGAATTTCAGAACCAGGCTATCACAGCGGCTAAACACCACCATATAATCAAATGATTGTCCACAATTAAGAATTATGTTTTGTATCTTGTTCAATACATTATATGGGGATTCAAAAACAAATGCTTCAAAGGTCTGTCTTGAGTTATCTAGGAAGAAGACACTTTTCACAGAACTCATGGGGTGGAGGCCAACTCACCCATGACCACATTAGTAGTTCCTTAGTTGTTTGCATAGAGTTTAGTTTAGGTGGAGTTTCAGATTTAGTTGTCAAAATTTTAAATTCAGTCCAAGCCTCTACAAGTAATTTAACAGAGGCTGAAATCCAAAATCATGAGTAAATATTGAAGTTGGAACTATAGATGGAAATACTGGCACAGAAAAATATTAACAGCCAATATTTTTCAGTTATGGAAATAACAAAAAGTAAAATGTAGCAGCATTTAGAAATGAAACAACATAAAAATTGTCAAAATACCTACCTGAGTATGAATTTCCATTATATGATCAAAGGTTTTTTTTATAGTTTAACAATTAATTTTACATTTTTTATGAGGAAAATTTTTTTCATTCATTTTAAATACCAATCAAAGATCCTCCTCTTCCATCCTCCCTCCCCACCAGACTCCCCTCCCAACCCATCCCTCACTCCCTCCCACAAGAAGGCAAGGCTTCCCATGTAGAGGTACGTTCAGTAGAGGCAAGTCCAAGGCCTTCCCCTGCCTCAAGGCTGCACGAGTTGCCCCATCATAGGTAATGGGCTCCACAAAGCCTGCTCATGTACCCGAGATGGATTCTGATCCTGCCACTACAGGCCTCCCAAGCAGATCAAGCTACACACTTTTCTCACTATGCTAAGGGCCTAGTCCAGTCCCCTGTAGGCTCCACAGCTGTTGATCCAACTTTCATGAGTTCCCTCTAGTTTGGTTTGGTCGTCCCTGCATGTTTTCCCATCATGATCCTGATGAACTTGCTCATAGAATTTCTCTTTTCTCTCTTTGACTGGACTCCTGGAGCTCTGTCTATAGAGCTAAACAGAGAATTCTCAAAGGAAGAATTTCAAATGGCCAAAAGACATTTAAGGAATTGCTTAGCATCCTTAATTATCAAGGAGATACAAATCAAAACGACTGAGAAACCATCTTATGCCTTGTCAGAATGGCTAAGATCAAAAGCACCACAGACAGCTTATGTTGGAGATGATGTGGAGCAAGGGGAACACTTCTCCACTGTTGGTGGGAGTACAAAGTGGTACAGCCACTTTGGAAATCAGTGTGGCGGTTTCTCAGAAAATTGGGAATCAATCTACAATAATTTTACATTTTTTGTGTATGTCTATCTGTGTGGTAGGGGTGGGCACACATGTTCAAAGCATATATGTGGAGGTCGGAGCACAGCTTTTAGAATCGGCTCCCTCCTTCTACTTCCACTGAGCTATCTAACTCAGATCATTGGGCTAGGTGGCATGCACCTTTACTCAAGAGCCATTTTTCAAGCCCATTTTTTCAACTTAAAAAAAAAGAAAATCAAATAGAAACTGCAAGAACTAAAAATAAATGAGAACAATCTTTATTGTCTGTCCTGATAAACCTCTTATGGGATGTCTGACACCAGTAGCCAGTGCAAGATACTCATATTTAAACATAGTCAAATGTATATGCTCCCAGAAAAGTGATTGGTTCATGTGACTTTTTTGATGTATACATTGTTTCTTCATTTACTAACTCAGATATTTCTTTCATTTTCATTTGAAATTAAGAATTCTGCCAACTTAATACAACATTAGCAAATTTCCTAGGTATTTTCCCACCTACATTACATATGTAGATAAAATAAGGTGATGATAAATACATTTTGTTGAATGAATTGGTGCATAATTCAGTGTGCAAAGACTGATACATAGGAGGCCCATGTATCCTTAAATGTTTAGCATCATGTTTGGGAGAGGGTCAAAATTCTTCCTGACAGTACAGTTCAACAGTCCTATTATCAAGTCCACTTAGAAGATCATCAGTCAAGAAACTCTAAAGGACAATTAGCTTTGAAAAGCGATATTTATATAATACAATTATTGCATCAGATGCTTCTGGTAAGAGGAACCAAATCATGACCTATGCCATCATCAGCAACAAGTCCATGTTTGCACAACTGAGGGAGATTTATTCATAAAACTGAAACATGTGTGGGCTGAGAAAAATAGGTCAAAAGTTAAACTCTTTCTCTATTTCTCTTTCCAGTTCCAACTTAAGAACACAAAAATTAAATACGTAGCTTTAGGATGTATTTATAGATTATTAAATGAACATATCATACAGTTTAATTTATTTAAAATCTTTTATTCTCAGCAAAATCAAACATATCATTGAGTTTACATAGAAATACAATTTCCAATCATGTTTTCATAAAAATTCACTGGTGAAGTAAATGTTCATATTAATGACCAATTATGTACTATTTGATCATGCCAGTAGCAGAACAGATCACCATTAAAAATTGGTAAGTAACATATCTTAAATGTGCAAATATCATCTTAGTATTCTATTGTGTTACAATTGATATTAAATGTTTGCTAAATATATATACCTAGTACATAAAGCTTTTTAAAGTACAATAAAAATACAAACTCTATCTGTTAAAAAAAAGCCATTTAGATGGCTTCTAAACATCCTCATTATACAAATTCCAAAATACTATCTGACAAATAGAACAGCAAAGACTGCCTGATGAAACACATACTACCCACTAATTAAGGTTTAACTTAGCAGGTATAACAGAACATAAACAGAAAGACTCATCTATACCCATAGAGCATGATGGTACAAATATAATATTGCATAAGCACATTTGATTTCTGTTCCTAATGAAAAGGTACCTTTAACACCTGCATAAAACTCCATGAGAAAAATCTACTTAGTTTTGATAAATTTCCCACAACTAAGCCCAGATTTTCATTACTTCACTTTCTTATATTGTGATAAACCAAATTAGAAATTTGACCGCTATTTTTTTTCTGAACTATAACTGTTAGTATTTTACATCATGGGCAAATATATTGGAAGCATATGTTTTCAAAGGTCAGGGTTCATCAGCATATCAGAATGAGTACTAAAGAATTTTATTGCTCATATTCAAGATGAAGCTGATGAGAAATTTTTGTGAAAAGTAGATTCTGACTTTAACAGAGCAAATGAAAATTAAAATTGTTAAATATTTTTAAATTTAAATAGAACACTCTCAAATTTTAAAGTATCAACACTAAGGTTGGTAAGAGAAATACCACACCACAGGATATCTGAAAAATATTGGTAAAATAAAAATAGACAATAGGAATTACATTTGTAGAAAGCATAAACTTCATTTCTTAAAATACAGAGCAGAAGATGGCCTAATGATATACTAATATGACAACACATTGAAAATAAACTTTTAAGTTTTTCAGGGAAGCAATTGTTTCCACAACTGTTACTTCTGAGGCAAATTAAACATTTTTAGAATATAGCTTAAATGACTGATGTTATTATTTCATGTTTACTAATATTCTAAATATATTTTATATAATTACTACTGGAACTTATATTCTTATTTTACCAGGTAGAATTAGGTAAACTGGTAGCATAATAGCTAAATTTTAGATTTTCATAATGAGATGAACATTTTACACACACTGGTCATTTGTTTATTGGTATCAAAATAGAACATGTGTAGTTGGATAGTGGTCCCTCTTCAGAAATCTGAAAGGTATCAAGGTATGGCTTTGGGACTAGGAAACTGAACTAATGTTCTGGAAAATGAGCATAAATGTCAAGGTGGTAATTATTTAGAACACAAGGCAGATACTCAGAAAACTTGTCTTTCAATTATAAATTCACCCATAATGCAGAAGAGAACATAATATCCATTACACTTAGTTCTGCTTAATAAAAGATAAATCAACAGTGAAAGTGAGGAGGTTTTTACTTCCATAGATTTAAAAACATTTAGATATTCAAAAATATATTGGCATGGATATAATAACTGTCTTAAAATAATGAATGAGATATATGTTTATAAACAAATCAGGCATAAGTCAGGATCACTCATTCTTGATGTCAGCACCTGCTGTCTAACGGGTCGAGACAAAATACTGTGCCTTCAAGAGTTAGTCCCATTTTGAACCCCTCCTGTAAAGCAAAACAAAATTGTTAGAGTATAAACACTAATGGTAAGAGAAAAGCATATCACTAAGTAAGAGAGACTATCAACAAATTAAATTCTTTGTGTTTTAAGTAAATGCAGATTTGGTTTATGAAAATTTTACACAGATTAGGTGACGTTTTGCTGTCTTAAGTATATGAGTTGAATGTGTATGAGAAACAGAAGAAAATACCAATCTAAGACATGAAATAGTTTTATGATTTATCCATTTCTTTTGTAGCACATTTTCAATACTCCATTTTACTCTAACTTATTTACTAGTTCCTTAAAAAAAATTCTGTGTGTGAGTGA